TCCGCAGCATCATGCAACATTATGCATGACTACACTAATGCATATACTAAAATATAACGCAAGTATGACATGGCATTTCAATCACATTTCATTTAAAACAATTTCTGGAAAAAACGTAAAGTATACATACATATATATAGAAAACCAAAAGCCTACTCACCTGGAGTCTGCGCTATAACTCCCTAGCATGAATATTGAGATGTCTCGAACGACAGTCACCTAAAGCAAATATCAAATCACATCTCAGAATCCTTATTGATAGAACATGTAATTTACATAAAACACATCCCCCGAGGACGATCTAGAATGATTTAAGTCCCATTGACCAAAAGTCAACCGTCGGTCAAAGATCGACGATAGGGTCCACAACTCTACGTAACTTAATCCGGAAGATCCGCTCCTCGGATTTCCAACCAGTAACTTCCAAAGATCTACATTATGTTTCTAAAACATCATCCTAAAATTTCATTATGATCCAATGGTTGGATCTCCACCAATTGCAAATTCAAGTGGCGGTTAACGTTTTATTTTACGAACTTACAAATCCAATTCGGGAAGATCCGCACATCGGATTCTCGATCCATAAGTTCCTATGATCCTCAAATATTACGTACTATAACATATTAAATTTTGGTGACAATCCAACTGTCGGATTGTCAATTCATATTTTTACCAAGTAACGTTGATAGGAGCATATTTATGTGACTTAATTGGCTTGTTCTCATGCATTTATGTTGTGTTTCTTTAGTTATTTTAGTCCTTTATGCCATTTTCATGTGTTTCTAGGTTCATATGGCTAAGGAAGCAAAAAGGTGCATTTTGGGGCATTTTGGAGCAAAATTGAGATTGGAATGGATATCATATGCTTGGAGCCAAGAGGATGGACGAAATTGAAGACTTGAAGATGATGATTCCTACTTAAACAAGGTTTCCTACTTGAAGTAGGAAAGTTAAATCCTAAAAGACCTCATGTTTGAGCAACATTGAAGACTCCTATCTATTCTAAGTCACAAAACAAAGTCACATGCACCATCAAAACATCCTTTGCCGTGGCCTTCCATAGCATTTCCAGCATTTCCCAATCCCTAGCCGTGCATAACATTGCATTTCCAGCTTCCCACTTTATCATTGCACCACATTCTCCCTCTTTAATCCACATGCATTCATCATCATTCACTCTAGCTGCCACTCACATGCTTTCACATACATTTCACAACAACAATCAGCTTTGTCATGCATCCCATTCCAATTCCAGCATTCCCCCTTTGCATTTCCAGCATTCCATTTCATTATTGCAGCCACCATTCACTCTTTAATCCACATGCATTCATCATCATTCACCCTAGCTTTAATTCACATGCAAACACATTCACAATCAGCCACATTTTCCCTTTCAAAGCCGTGTACCCCCTTTTGCAATTCCAGCTTTCCACCAACCAACCTAGCTGCCATTCCACATGCATTCCATCTTTAATCATTCTTCTCCTAGCTGTTTTTCCATCATTATTTCAGCCACATGCACTCTCAATCATAAGAGCCACATGCATTCTTAAACAAACAGCCACATATTCTCCCATTCCTCCTATAAAAACCCATGCATTCACACAAACAAAAATACAACAACAACCATCTTCCCCTTAGAACACTCCTTAGCCGTGGCTTCCCCAACCATTTCCAGCATCTCCTCTTCCATTTCCACCACTCCTCATCCCTCCAAAACATTATCCAACCATCAACCTATCCTTCGACCTTGTGCTACAACAAAGAGGAGGAGAAGAGTGCCTAAACGTTCATACAATTCAAGTTTGAGTTGTTGGAATTTTTAGGTGTTTCTTTTCCTCGATTTCAATGGTTAAATCTACTTATCTTTGTTTTGTACGTATGAGGAACTAAACCCCCCATTAGCTGGGGGTGATTCGAAACCATGTTTATGCTTGCAATATGAATTGATTACCTTTAGTTGGAATTTCATGAGTTGTGGATTCAATTTGTTTAACTGTTTGATTGATAACCTATTTATGTATGTATATTGAGAGTGCATGCTTAATTTTCATGCATGAATATGACGCTAGAATATAAGTGAGTTTCACCTAATAGTTATGAACTTATATTCACAAGTAGTGGAGGTTGCTTATAAACAATCGCGTTAAATGAATTCTTGGCACTAGTTTCATGCTCATCATAGTAATGAATGCCTCGTCAACACTTATAGTTTTCATGATGCTTAATGATTCTTGCTTGTATCTCTATTATGCAATTCATGCAGGGAACTTGTGGGGAATACTTTGGGTTGTCGCATGCAATCATCCAATTCATTAACTTAAGGAAAACTTGACGGTTAATTTAAGCGGACCTAATTAACCCGGGGTGTTGAGTTTCATAATTCATCGAAAGACCAACCGAAAATCATCTTGTATGCAAGTGTAACATGTGTGGAGAAGAACCTTCTAGCTAGCATTCATCCATATTTTCATCACATTCATATTTACATTCTGCCCTTAATTACAATCTGTGCATTTTAGTTTAATTTCGTCAAAACCTCAATCCCCCCCCCCATATTTTGTTTAGTCTTAATCTATCTTATTTTGTGTTTTTAAGTATTTGGAGTCCTGTGGACTTATTTTGAGTTTTCGTTAAGTGAATTAAGTGTTTAAAGATTAGTTTTATTTATTTGAGTCAAGTGTTTAGCACCCCTAGTTAATCCCCGGTTAGAACGATCCCTACTTACATCATTACTACAATTGTCACAAATAGGGTTTAATTTATGTGTCACATTCGTATCGCATCAAACGTACCTTAATCAAACTAGATTCACAATAATCAAATCACATCATATGGATATCAAATCTAAGATCAATGTATCGATTTAAAATAAAATAGCATCGGTGATCCACTGGCCACGCGCTGCTGTCGGTGGCTGTCGCCCGCCCCGACTCGTCGGAAAATTCAACTATTTCTAAAAATTCTCAAATTTTATAGGAATGGAGATCTTAATGAGTAGAACAACTTTCATACCTGTGACAAAGGCCAATTTGGCCGGGAAAAGCCCCAATTTAGCTCGAACCATACGGAACCCTAAACTTGGGTGTGTTCGATTCAACATCCAAATTCACTCCGACGCCTCAAACATTGCTTAGGCTTTATTCCTGGGGTTGAGGGGAGCCCAGTGGTGGTGGTAATTTGCTAGGTTAACTTCACGATTGTAGAATTTCGCCATGGCACCCACGAAACCCATAGGTTTCGTTCTACTCAAATTCAAGCTCAAACCCAATAAAATTTAGTTGGAAATGGAAGAGGGTAAGATAAGGATTAGTTTTTACGTGGTGGTGAAGGTTAGATCGCCGGAAAACCAACGGAAAAATTTCGGGAAGGCGGCGGTGTGGGTGGTGCCCGACAGGTTACACGGGCTAACCCGTGTCTCCCCCCTCCCCCCTTTTTCTTTTCACCTTTCCCTCCTTGCTCATGTTTCTGATTGGTCACCTTCCTCCCTCATTTCCTCATTTTTATTTTCTCTCATTCTCATCCCAGCCGTCGATTTCTTTCTTTCCTTCCATCCTAGCCACACACATGGCCTCACCGATCTTTGCTCTAGAAATCTACAGCCTTCCAAATTAAATAAAATTACCAAAATATCCCTAACTTTAAACGTTAATAACTCTTCCGTTATAACTCCAAATCACGCCCTGTTTGCGCCCACGTGTCTATAACGATAAGTACTACAAGAATACGCTAAGAAAATGAACCTTACGTAACATGACACAACAATCAACAAAAGCCAACACTTTACCTCGAAGAGCATTTTTGTAACTTCACTTATTAAAATTATAAAAATCATAATTTTTAGGAACGGGCTGTTACACAACAGGTGTGAGGGCATTTGTGGAGCAAAAAATAATCAAGAAAAATATGGATGCGACACGTGGATTCTTGGGTTAAAAAGACAAAATTACCATTGAGATGCACCAGAACTCCTACGCACAAGCAACGGACAATTACGACTCAATCAAGGTCAAAAGTGATCAAAATAGGTATTTATTCAAAACCTATTTCATCAATCCTTATCAAATCCTCTCCACAAGGTAACCTTCAATTATTCATTCAAAATATGATTAATTACCTAAATTAATTGATTGCAAGATATTATTTTGACATAATATCTTGCAATTACACCAAAAAACCACCATAAGTGGCCGGCCACACCCTAATAAATACCACCTTATTTCTCCAAAAACCTAATTCTAACTCTCTTGCAAACTCTCCAGATTTCTTTAAACACTTTTCCCTCAAATTCTAATTTTGCCATCAGAGGTTCTTCGGCCAAAGCCCCTCCCCCCCCCCACCCCCCTCCTAAATTCATTGTGGGCGCATGAGGCTCTTGCCCTTAACCTAAGATGTTAATTGTTTTGCAGGTGCAATTTCGTCCAAGAAGAAGAAGGTGGAAATTTGCATCCACATGTATGACATAAATCATATTAGGCAAGAATAAATAATGCGTATGATTATACTCTTCATATTTAAAATATAATAGTAGGGAGTTTTCCTCTTCACTCTCTCTCTCTCTCTCTCTCTCTCTCTCTCCCCTATTTGCACTTACCATTTCCAATTGCCATCCAATTTGTTTCGAAAAATTTTAGAATCGGAAATATTGGGATTCAGAATTTGGAATTTTCAATCCATCTTGAACCATAGTAATTGAACACCCACATATGCTTTTAAAAATCAAACTCTCCTTTCACATCATATATGCTCCTCCGAAATTGTACTCCCATCATATTTATCGCGACGAACGAGTGAAGGCTCGATTCATCTCCCACCAAAGTGTAAATGACTCGTCTCCAATGCCCGATGAACTATTATTTGTTCCCCAAGTCTCTACTTTTGGCTAGGGCTTCCATGGGGAAGCTCTTCTATTCGCCCGTTGTATACGGCAACATGTACAACCATGTAAATCTTGTCTAGGATCGCCCCGTTGTTTAGTGTCTGTAATCATACGTGAGAGATATTGTCCGAGCAACCAAACTCAAAAATTTCTACATCTCGAGTTTTGAAAATTAGACACAAATAATACAGTTGCTATGGACCAAAAAAAAAATCCTAAAAGTAGGACTGTAGGCCATATTTAAACTTGGCTGGACCCTGGCGGGCGAGTGAGACATTGCAAACTGCAATGCCCATCAAAACTCTAGCTTTTTAAAATCCAACTAACCAAATAGTCAGCATAAAAAATAAAATAAAAAAGTGTTAAAACTACTACTGCACGGTCAACAAAAGTAGAGTCTCCGACGAAGATCTCACACAAAACCTCTAAATAAAATCATCTCCACCTTTTATCATCAATAACCCTTTGCTTTCTTCTTCACCTTTCTCATGCCCTTGTCCTTCGTTTTTGCAGTCACCCATTTCTAGCCCGGTCAGCATCTTCGCCTTCAACGACTCTGCCTCCCAATCAGTCCTTGCCACCACAACATACAGAATGGACACAGCACACGCCACCTGAGCAGATAAAAGCCCGAACCAGAGCCCGCCAAACCCTACCTTGAGCCAGAAGGCAAGCCCGACCACCACAGGGATGCCCACGAAGTAGAACGACCCCAAATTAATGCGGGCACCCACAGCCGGGCGTGCCGTGCCACGTAGGATGCCACAGCCAGTGGTTTGGGGGCAGTTGCCTAACTCACGAAGCCCCATGATTGGCTTGACTGATACAACCAAGGCTTTGACGAGCTCGTCCTTGGTGAAGAGGCCTGCCCACCTCCCTCTTAAAATCACTACCCATGTCACGTTGATGATGCCGATCACAAATGCACATCCCAATGCCACCATCGCTGCTAACTTCGCCTTGTATGGCTTCCCACAACCAAGCTCATTCCCTACCTGCAAACAGATATGCAGATTCAAACATCCATATAAGAAGCATAACGCTTGCATAAGTGATTGTAACTTTAGATAAAAATATTATGAAATGAAGAAATATGCACACGATGAAACCTTCATGAACGACATGCGAATGCATAACTACCAGGTACCAAGCTTGATTGGGTACAACCTAGAAGTGCCAATTATATACACATTATTGAAACAAACAATTGCAAAGGAAATTAAAGGTTTATTCGCTCCAGAAACAAGAAATTCAATATGAATGATGAATCCATAAATACTGGCCCTTGTAAAAAGAAAATTTTAATTCACATTACATCTCATTCGTATGAAAAAATAAATACCTAACTGCTTATCTAATTGTATCACAGATTCACATTAGCAAAGAAAATAATCCATTAATCAAAGCAGAACCTTCTTTACATTTATCCAAAAAATAAAACACAAAATCTCTGCACATGTTAGAGCATAAAGGCATGAAGACTAGCTTGACTATGACCTTTACATCTTCTTGGTAAGAGTCAACTGAATTCTGAAATCAATAATTTCTTTCTATACCATATACCACAAAACTAATTAGCCCCAGAAATTGGCTCCACTTAGAACTAGAGATTAGAGAAACCAAATGCTGGTGATTATTAAAGAAACCCTTCTATATTTCAACAAGTTCAAAAGAATAATTCACTACGGGTTCCTTCATAGCCAGCAGTTACATGATGAAACACATGGTGAAGCATAAGGGGTTCTTTTACGAAAGAAAATCCTCAAGTAATGAGACGCTAACATTTCAAAATATGCACACTCGGATGCAGTTGGTAAATATTAACACATAAACAAGAAACAAAAACACAGAACACAAATACCTGCTCACACTGTAACCACAAAGAATGGATGTTGAGTTTAAGTTTGTACTCTTAGGTCATTTACTCTGTGTAGAATTACAACCAAAACACAAATAGCAAGTCATCATCCTTTGGATCATCAAATAGCTTCTGGAAAAGTACATGAGGTAAGAAGAAAAACAAGACATGATACCTTACATAACAATGCAGGTGCAACCATCAATGCCATCCCATTTTTATCCACTTGATCTTGATGCCTGGCAAAATGCCAGCTCCAGAGTGTACAGCCTAAAAGAAACTAAATGGTGTATTTGACAAGAAAAATTGTCTTTATAGTAGTTGTGTAAATGCAATATAATAGCTTTGCAGAAGGAGATTAAAAGCCCGAGGTTCCAAACTGCTTGTTAGGAAAAGAAAAATTAAAAGCAATAGCATGACAGCCATGAAGTTATCCTGGCTTACTGAGGAAATTCATGGCAGACGAGCAATTCTTCTCCAGAAGTATAGCTTGATATTCAATGTTCGATAGGCCAATTATGGGTTCAAAAACATTTGGAAGTTTTGATAATACCAGTTCTCTCATAGGGTGCATAACTCACTTGTTTCTTCAATGAACTTGATCTGATTTTATACAGCTATAAACAATTTTACACGATAACATATCGAAAACAGTCTTAATTTGAAAGTAACACTATGACTTCCTAGTTTCACTGTATTGAATTGGATAAATAGAAGTAAAATACAAGAAGGAAACAGGTGTGGAAATGAAATTTAATTTGGGTCTGACTGTATAAGGGACGCAGTTACCTTCTCCGTATTTCTCCCTGATGTTAGCGCGATACTCCTGAAACTTGCAATCATGAAAATGAGGAGGGAGCTGGGGCTGAGGCTGCAGTAGCGGATAGAGTGCTGATATTACTGCTCACATTCATGCTGGTTCCACCGGCAGACCCCTCGATGGCAGCCTTTGGGCCTGGGGGGGTTTCAATATCTGTAATTCCATCCAGCATCTGCAAAACCTTTCCCATCATCGGCCTGTGAGATGGTTGTTCCTGTATGCACCAGAAGGTTACCTGAATCGCTCTCTTCACTTGATCCATATCAACATCTTGGTTGACTAACCTTCTATCGACAATTCCCTTGATGTTACCCTTTTCAAATTCCTCAAAAGCCCATAAGGAGAACTTTTTCCTATTTGTCTCCTCAGAAACTTCAAAATTTCTTCTCCCACTCACTATCTCTAGCAAAACCATACCATAACTGTAAACATCAGATTTGGAAGTTACTGGAAGATTTGCTAGCCATTCTGGTGCCAAGTATCCTCTAGTACCTCTAACACTCGTCAAGGTTCGATACCTGTGGTCCTTTGCACTAACGAGCTTTGCGAGGCCAAAATCTGACACTTTGGCATTGTAATTCTCATCTAACAGAATGTTCTCTGGTTTTATATCACAATGCACAATGCAATCTCGGCACTCCTCATGAAGGTATGTGATCCCCCTTGCAGTGCCGAGGGCAACGTTGAACCGAGACTCCCAATTTAACACCTTTCCTGATTGCTCTTCTGTTGCAAAAAGGAAACTATCAAGGGACCCATTTTTCATGAACTCATATACCAGAAGCCTATGGCGCCCCTCTGAGCAAAAACCAATCAGCCTCACCAGATTCAAATGGTGGGTGCTACTAATCGTTGCAACCTCCATCCTGAACTGTTTCTCCCCTTGCTCGATCCCCTCAAGTTGCTTAACTGCAACAACAGTTTGATTAGCAAGAATGCCTTTATAAATAGCTCCAAATCCTCCTGCCCCAAGCTTCTCCTTGAATCCCTTAGTTGAGCGCTGGAGCTCCTTATACGAGAACTGAACCGGTGCACCAGAGGCATACTCAAGAAGCTCATATTGAGCAGACAATCCACCAAAGGCGGGACTGTTTCTGCAAAACCACCACCACAAACCACCTTCCAATGCCATCAAAACAAAGAGGGTGGCAATAACCACAACAACCACAATCCAAGCACGCAACTTCCAATTCTTTTTCTTGTCACCAGTCCCCATTGAAGATGACGGATTTGGGATCACTGGTCCACATACCTTGATATATGAACTACTGGACATAGCTGGACTGTGATAACCACTAAGAAAACCTGGTGTCTTGTAGTAACATAGCCCTGTGCCATCAGACAAAGACGTAGAAGCATCACAAGCACTATTTACAAGACAATTCAACCTGCAGGCCGATATCCCCACAAAGAAAATCTCTGATTTCGTCTCAGGAGGGTACGTTAAGAATCGAGTATGTACCATGTCCAACATAGTCAAACTCTGGGGACAATCCTCAATCTTCATCTTCCTCTTACACCCTTTCCTGCTATCCTTGGGATCAACAAGCTCAAAATTAAGAGACATACATCCGCATACCGGATTAGAATCGTTATAACTACAAACTCCCATGTCCCCACAATACCCGAAAACCTCACACTGATCTGTAACAGCTGCCCATCTCTCAGTTAGAGCCCCACTATCACTAGTAGAGTTATAAATCCTCAAATTCCCATCACTCCCTAACTTCAGAAACATGTAGTCGGCAGCATAACTGTAGTCGGCAGCATCGCTACTATAAGCAACAATAGCAGCAGTGGACAATTTTGGATCAGAAATTGACAGAATACCACTTGACTCCAATCCTAGAGTAGGCGAACTCAAATTGGTATTAACAGAAGAATTCAATCCCCGATTCCAATACACAATACTATCATTCCACAAAAGTGTAAGATTCCCATTTTTTGCAAGCTTAAACGAGTACAACCCAGATCGCAAAACCTTACCCACAGTGAAGTTCTGCCCGGGGACGATCGAATCGGTGGGGTTGTCGAAGCTGGACCAGACGGTAACGGTGCCGTTTCGGAGGACCAAGTTGCCCGAATCGTCAATCTCTGCCGACGAGACGCCGCGGCTGGCGGTGTTGGAGTCCCAGAGAGTGGCGCCGGAGCCGTTGACGAGGCGGAGGGTACCGGATTGGAGGAACTGGAGGGTTCCACCGGAGTCCACTGCTTTGCCTGCACCGGCGGACCAGAAGGGGACGCCACCGGAGGAGGAGATGGCGGCGATGTAAGAAGGGGGTGAAGTGGGGGGGTCGGAGGGGATGAAGCCGAGGGTGAAGGGGACGAGGGTGAAGGGGTCGAAAGGCGAGGGCGAGGACCAGGTGGTGCTTAGGTTAGCGGCGGAGAGAGAGGAGCCTGGTGAGATTGTGGTGGCGGCGGAGAGGAGAGAGGCGATCAAGAGGAGTGAAAATCGGATGTGGGTTTGGAGCGCCATTTTTGGGTGAGTGTTGGATTTTGGGTATCAGTTCATCGGTGGGTGGGTGGGCAGGGGAGAAAGTTGGGTGAGTTTAAGGAGGAGGGAGGACAGGAGTGAGGTGAGGTATGCAATGGAAGAAGACTTTGACTGCCAAAAAATCTGGGGAAAGGGTCGTTCACGGCGTTTGACTCATGCGAGGTCGGATCTACCGCATCCGGTTTTACTTTTAGTATCATTGTAGTCAAATGGTTTAATTTTCATAAATCAATAAAGCATTGATTTTATTCTATAAAAGCTTGAATTAACTGGTTTGGAGTTCATTATTTTCCCCCTAAGATTAACCCCTTTAGTGAGATTAAATATTAAAAAAATATTATAATTCTCTTCAACATAGATTGTATGGGGATGACCAATCATACAAATTAAGGAAGATTGGTCGTTTGAGAAAATTGATATCTAAAAGCATATTCAAAAAAGCGTCAGAATGTTCAAGTCAATACTACGAGTAAAATAAAGGCAACAACAATGTTTTTCAACTTAAAAGTTAAATTTTATGTGACATGACATGGGTTGGTAACCCTCTGCCAAAATGACAGCTTCAATTTTTTTCAATTAATTATTAAATATAATTAATCATTTTTATTAGGGGCTTTTAGATTGTAAGGTTTCGATAAAATTGTTTTTAGATTTTGACATGAATGATTTTCAAAATCTAATATAAATCCCTATTTTTAAAACTTACCATATTTAAGTAATTATAACACATTTATTATTTATAAAATTACCATTCGAAATTCTTTACCCATCCATAATTATATTTTTTATTTTGGGCTCTAATCATATTAATAGATAAAAATTTATTCAAAATTCAAATTCTCATTATCAAACAAATTCAACAACAAAACAAAATCAATTTATACATAACATTTGATACCTTATTTTATTCATAGGTACAGAAGTATCGACACATAACTTTAGGTACCTTATATTACTCATACGTACAGAAGTATCGGTTTGTAAGTTTCGGAAAGAATATATCGGTGCATAACTTTCGATTCGAATGTATCGGCGTACAAATATGTCGGTACAAATGTATCAGTACGTAACTATAGTATCTAAACATACATATGTACGTAATATGCATATACATATATATGGAGAAATTCGACCACAATAAAAAATATATCATGAAATATGACTTTTCTTATTATGGGAACTTAATAATAACTATCAATGATAATTAACATTTTTATTATTTATGGGAATCAATATATAACCTACAAACAAAAAACTCAATAATTATTACAACCTATTTAATATTAAAAAATTACAATTAAATGCCAAGGATTAGAATTAGTTTTTAATCTTAGATAAGATTTTATTCAAAAAGTAATCTTAGACAAGGATTAGAATAGAATTTTCCGTTTTTATTATTATTTTTGTTTAAAATGCTTATTATAATAATTAAAGGGTTTTTTTTATTAGAACCCCACAAATTGTTGAATACACCCCCACTCAATATTTAATGTTAAATGACTTGTATAAAATGACTATTTAAGCCCTAAAAAAGTTTAAAAAAAAAAAAGAAAAAAAAACATTGTTGTCTTCCTGCACCCCAAATCATTTAATAAGATTTTGACTTTTTTCCGTTCTTTCCCTTATTGTTCATTCTCTATTTAGTTATTCTTAATTTAATTTGAATGATGTAGTTTCTTGATCTGCTGTAATGCATTATTCATGAATTAAAGACTACAACTGATATGGGTATTGATGAACTGATCGAACCGAAGTGATTTTTCACAGTTCTGGAAAAGAAGAAGCAATAAGTAAAGAATACAGTAGTCAAAACTGATATGTGTAGGTTGCAAATGTTCATTTCCCCTTCCTCTTTTTCACAAAGTTTTATTTAGAGGTTGCAAATGTGCAAAGACTTCAAATTTTTTGTTTTGTTTTGTTTTGGCTACAAGATGAGGACTTGAGCTGGATTTTGGTGTGGGGTATGTGGGGTGTATGGAATGTGTGGGGTGTGAGGGTAGATTTGATTAGTAAATGTGATGTATTGAGATAATTTTTTGTTTAAAAAGTAAGTGTAAGGTGTATTAAATATGTAGGATGTTAATACAATAAGCCTAACTAAATTTGATATATAGACGAAGAAAAAATCTTAAAAGATATCAAAGTGCCTTGTAAACTATCAAATTTAAATTTTATATTTAAAATTAAACATATCATTTTTGAATGCTAAAATTAACCTCAACAGTACCAAAAATCACTCGTACTATTTTGTGATTTTTAAAATGCAGCACTATATTTTCTGACTAAAATACCAAATCATTATTAAATTCCTTAACTTTTAGTTGGTGTGGTTTCCAGCCGTCAATAATTTTTTTATTTAGGGAAAGTAGTTTCTCAAAAATTGAAGACGTGGGTTGGGGTTAGAGCAAAAAGAGTCCAGCCTTCAACTTGGACATGAGTTAACGCGTTAAAGCTTGGTTAAAAAGGCAAGGGTGAGGGAATCGGGGTATTCGGGAAGATCACGACTCTCGACAGACTGATGCACGCTGCTGGACCTGACAACTTCTGACTGATGCTGTCGGATCTCTGTTTTCCCGGACTTCAATTTTTTTATTTCGAAGAAGAATCCTCTCCTCTCTCTCTCTCTCTCTCTCTCTCTCTCTCTCTCTCTCTCTCGTTATCTCACACTTTACTTTATGATTTAGAATTATTTTATTAACACTTCGTATATTGACGAAAACATTCCACATATTTAAAACATTATATGCTTACTCTTGAAACTAAAAATTATCTTAATACACCCAACGTACTAATCGAAACTACCCTCACACCTGCACATTTCATACACTCCACACAAAGTCTACCTCAAGTCTTCATCATTTCCTAAAAATAAATTTAAACCCTTTGTCTTCAGCACACAAACAGTGTTCATGGTTATACTGCTTCAAGGTTTTTGTCAATTTAGGGAAATTAAGCTTTGAATGTGAATTTGATATTAAACTCAGAAGTACCTACTTTGCTGGCTTTTCTTAAATAAGAAATCATGAAAGGGCTAGTTGGGCTAGTTGATTTTGCTATTGTTGTGTCCATGCAGATTCTCGATTCTGGAATCATGCTTGAATGAAATTGCACCACAAACCATCCTAAGAAATAAACAACAAACATGCTTGAACATTTTTAGCAAAAGACAAAAAAAAAAAAAAAAAAAAAAAAAAAAAACCACTACTACACTATCTCAAAGAAGATTTGAATATTAAGGTTGTAAAATACGCTAGACGCTAGTCGGGCAGTGGGTTGGGGCCTAGCGCCTAGGCGAATTTAAGTAAATCTATTGTATTTCGTGTAAATAAGTGTCTGTTTATACTTAATATATATATAATTTCATTATAAACTAAAAAATAGAATGACATACATATTATGAAGTATTGGAACATAATGAAAACATGGGGAGCAAACATATAATGTATGTTTATTTAAGTGTTTAATAAGTCTCTTACAATTTATTGGAAACAATGAGTCTCTTACAATTTAAGTGTTCTCTTTTATTTCTTCACAAAATTACACGTCTTTCTTGGTCCAATTTTTATTTTTTTGTGAACAAACAATATTATCTACACTGTCACTTAGTAGTACGGTCTGGTGCTATTCCTTTTTACTTGTAAATGAGAGGTCTCAAGTTCGATTCTAGTCTCAAAGCCTAAAACCTCTCACTTACAAGTGAAAATAAATACCACCAGACCGCAGTACTAAATGACTCTTTCTTAGTCCAGTTGAGTTTAGCAGCAAATCCTGTCTTCCTTTCCTCCTTAGAGTCAAGTTTTTTTTCTTCACTTGTACAATGAATTAGAACATGTCAATGTTAATGTATTCAAGCTGCGTCTCATTAGGGTTTGAGTAAGTCATAATAATGCTCTATTTTTTTTTTTTTTAATAAAAATGTGACTCGTCTTTGACATCTTCTTGCTTATGGGACGGATCTTAAAATTTCAAAATGAATTGGACTAAATTTAACTTACTCACAATTTAAAAAAACGTTAAAAAACTCGACCACAAATTTCACGTTCATGCTCTTGCACGTGTTAGAAATGAGTGGTTAAGTTTTTATTTAAAATTAGATTTTGGGTTACTATATATATAGTTGTTCTAATTCATAATTTTAAGATTTTATTTTGGGAAAATTTTTGAAATGTCATATGAACTTGTACGTATTTTTAAATTTGTCATATAAATTAAAATTTTAAACAATTTGTCATACCAATTTTTTGAAATAATTAATTTGTCATCTTCCTCTAACTCCGTTAAGTTTTCCATTCAATATAAGTCATATGCAAGACTTGTGTTTAGAGTTATTTTGATCATTTTAATACCTTACTTCCCTTTTATTAAGTTGTATTCGACAAAAAATTGTAGGGTTTCTTAGGCAATGGAACAATATTTTTGATATGATAGCAATGAAATGATCATGCAATGAACTATCTTCTGGTTATTTCAAATATGTAATGATGCACAAGTGGGAGTTTGCATTTTAGCATGTCACGAATGTGGATGTAAATTTCCGCTATCTTCTTCTTTGACGAATATGCACCTGCAAAATAATAACACCTAAGATTAAGGCCAAAAGCCTCGCGCGCTCACGATGAATGGGGGTGCCTTGGCTAAAGAATCTCTGATGCCAAAGTTAGAATTTTGAAAAGAGTGTGTTTAGAAGTTTGTGGGTAGCAAATGACTTAGCTTTTTATTGGGATAATAACGCTATTTATAGGGGAGTGGCCGACCCTATTTGGAGAATAGTGGACATCCATATATGGTGTAATTGGGTGAATAATTGCAAGATATTATTTCACATAATAAATAGGAAATTTGGGACTTACCTTTTGAATAAGGATTTGATGAGGAATGGTGAGAGATATTTAAATAAATATCATTTTGATCACCTTTTGACTCTTCCTTGATTGAGTCGTTCTTGTCCGTTGCATCCACGTGGGAATTCCAGTGTGCTTTAAAGGTAATTTTGTCTTTTTAACCCAAAAGTTCAAGTGTCACCTCCATAATTTTCTTGATTTTTTTTTTTGCTCCACAAATGCCCCCACACTTGTTGGGCTACTCGCAGGAAAGGGCAACATGTGTAGAGATCTTCCCTTGCTTTAGGAAACATAAGATTGTTTCCTATTTTGATATAGATTCTCACTTTAATTGGAAATTAGATCATTAGGAAAGGGAAATAAATCACTTCCAAAGTCTATTTAAGTCTACCTTAAGTAGGTATTAAATCAACTACAGAGAACAATTTATTCTACCCTACAAGAGAGAGAAAGCTAGAGGATATTTGTTTCCCCTTGTGCATCAATCTTCTTCATTTGCCATGCAAAAGACCATTTTTCGTTGCTGTTTTTGTCTTCATGCCACACCAAGGCGAGAAAAAAAATTAATTTTCATTGTCTTTTTAATTTGGGTTAATCTTAATTTTTTTTTAGTTTTCAACATTTGGTACATGAAATTTTTTATTCCAGAATGATACATAAAATTATAATTTAGAAACTAAATCGACACTTCAACCAAACTTTTAAAATTACCATATTTCTGTCAGCCTGAATGTAAGTGAGGTGAAATGATTCAATTATGACAGTTTTGAAGGACAAATCAATAAATTAGCCTTTGGACATATATGCACAGGAGGATTTCATTCTATTAGTCCTTGTATATCCATGTTCAAAATAATGCATTTTTTTATTTGTGTTTTTTCTTATTTTATGTTTTGACTCTTTTCTTTCCATATTTAAGAAATCTGATTTATGGGTCTACTGTGCAGCGGGTACGATCTCCTTTTGAAAGGAAATTATTCGAAAGTTGTGGTGGTCCTGGTGGAGCAATTAGTACAAGTGAAAGCCAACAAAAACTAGTACCAACATGAGCCAAAATGAACGTCGTCGGGATGAAAAATTACTTGTATGTGTTGGAGACAGATCCACAAATTTGCTTTCTGTTCCGCCTGATACATTCTTGCAAGATTATATAGAACAAGAACAAGACCTTTTATTCGACCAAAAACGACGGTAGAATTTCTCTTAACATCCACCGGCATTGAAAAGGTTGCATCTGCAGGAGCAGCAAAAGCAGAAAACTCCGTGGTAACTTCAGAATGCAGGGCACCTGTAACAGTATTCAGGAGTAGCATTTGAGCTGCAGAATCAGAATAATGAGTGACACCATAGTTTTAAAGTCACCATTTGGATCATGTCACTGAAAGACCAAACTTTAGCCTCAACTCTTGAAGACACACAAAATGCAATAATAATGCGAAAAAGAATGTTGTGAAAGCCATGTTGTCTACTTCAGTGCCTTCGATGAAATATCACATTCTCTGTATAGGCACCAACAACATCGGTAGCATACCAAGACAAACATGCAAACCTTATAAGATGGCTTTTAACAACATCGACATCCATCAATAATCATAGAGTGAATGAAATCGTTTTACAAACATAAGCAATTTTGTAGAAGCATACTCTATTAAAAAAGGCATACCATACTCACAAACAAGTCACTGTCAACACTTAATAGCTATCAACAACGATGAAATGTTAGCATTTGATTACAGAGAATTTTTTCCGCGCTTTTCAACATAGGAGAAAAATAATCAATCAATCAATGAAAGGCATTTTGTACATCAGAACTTTAACAACTTAATCAGAAACTTTTGTATGTGTGAATAGGCATGGAGGCTATCTCGGCTATGGCCTATAAATCACTTCGTATGAGGAATCAAACTTCCAAAATGAAAAATAACTTTCTATGCCATGAATCGTATGCTGCAAAATATCAAGAGAGGGAGAAGAAGATCATGCTTATTCAGTATAGAATGACTGATGTACACTGTTTATATAATATATACATAGCACCGCTTAGCAATACAAAAGAATGATTCACTAAAGGAACCTTACTTTCACACAGTTTTTCCTAAACCGCTTGCATGCTTCCCTCCTAGCAAAGCAGTTACAAACTTACATGATGTCTCACATGGTTAAAGACAAGGGCTCCTTTTACAAAAGAAGGGCACCAAGTAATCAGCCACAGAGCATTTCACATTAATCCTTTGAAAAAGTAAAAAATCAACAAAGACGTAGTATTTGGGCAATAACAAACGTTAGATAAAAATATTATGAAAGGAAGAAATATGCACATGACGAAACCTTCATGAACGACATGCGAATGCATAACTACCAAGTACCAAGCTTGATTGGGTACAACCTAGAAGAGCCAATTATATACACATTATTGAAACACACAATTGCAAAGGAAATTAAAGGTTTATTCGCTCCAGAAACCAGAAATAAGAGCTCACATAACTAAAAGATTAATTAGGAGATAAGGAATTAAATATGAATGATGAATCCAGAAATATTGGCCCTTGTAAAAAGAAAATTTTAATTCACATTACATCTCATTCGTATGAAAAAATAAATACCTAACTGCTTATCTAAGCGTATCACAGATTCACATTAGCAAAGAAAATAATCCATTAATCAAAGCGGAACCTTCTGTACATTTATCTAACAAATAAAACACAAAATCTCTGCACATGTTAGAGCATAAAGGCATGAAGACTAGCTTGACTATGACCTTTAAATCTTCTTGGTAAGAGTCAACTGAATTCTGAAATCAATAATTTCTTTCTATACCATATACCACAAAACTAATTAGCCCCAGAAATTGGCTCCAGTTAGAACTAGAGATTAGCGAAACCAAATGCTGGTGATTATTAAAGAGACCCTTCTATATTTCAACAAGTTCAAAAGAATAATTCACTACAGGTTCCTTCATAGCTAGCAGTTACATGATGAAACATATGGTGAAGCATAAGGGGTTCTTTTACGAAAGAAAATCCTCGAGTAATGAGCCGCCAACATTTCAAAATATGCACACTCGGATGCAGTTGGTAAATATTAACATGTAAACAAGAAACAAAAACACAGAACACCAATACCTGCTCACAATGTAACCACAAAGTATGGATGTTGAGTTTAAGTTTGTACCCTTAGGTCATTTACTCTGTAGAATTACAACCAAAACACAAATAGCAAGTCATCATCCTTTGGATCATCAAATAGCTTCTGGAAAAGCACATGAGGTAAGAAGAAAAACAAGACATGATACCTTACATAACAATGCAGGTGCAACCATCAATGCCATCCCATTTATATCCACTTGATCTTGATGCCCTGCAAAATGCCAGCTCCAGAGTGTACAGCTTAAAAGAAACTAAATGGTGTATTTGACAAGAAAAATTGTCTTTATAGTAGCTGTGTAAATGCAATATAATAGCTTACTGCAGAAGGAGATTAAAAGCCCGAGGTTCCAAACTGCTTGTTAGGAAAAGAAAAATTAAAAGCAATAGCATGATTGCCATGAAGTTGTCCTGGCTTACTGAGGAAATTCATGGCAGACGAGCAATTCTTCTCCAGAAGTATAGCTTGATATTCAATGTTCGATAGGCCAATTATGGGTTCAAAAACATTTGGAAGTTTTGATAATACCAGTTCTCTCACTGGATGCATAACTTACATGTTTCTTCAATGAACTTCATCTGATATTATACAATTATAAACAATTTTACACGATAACAAATCAAAAATATTGTCTTAATATGAAACTAACACTACGACTTCCTAGTTTCACTGTATTGAATTGGATAAGTAGAGGTAGAATACAAGAAGGAAACAGGTGTGGAAATGAAATTCAATTTGCGTCTGACTGTATAAGGGATGCAGTTGCCTTCTCCGTATTCCTCCCTGATGTTAGCGGCGATACTCCTGAAACTTGCAATGATGAAGATGAGGAGGGAGCTGGGGCTGAGGCTGCAATAGTGGATAGAGTGCTGATATCACTGCTCACATTCATGATGGTTCCACCGGCAGACCCTTCGATGGCAGCCCTTGGGCCTGGCGGAGTTTCAATATCTGTAATTCCTTCCAGCATCTGCAAAACCTTTCCCATCATCGGCCTGTGAGATGGTTGTTCCTGTATGCACCAGAAGGTTACCTGAATCGCTCTCTTCACTTGATCCATATCAACATCTTGGTCGACTAACCTTTTATCGACAATTCCTTTGATGTTACCCTTCTCAAATTCCTCAAAAGCCCATAAGGAGAACTTTTTCCTATTTGTCTCCTCAGAAACTTCAAAATTCCTTCTCCCACTTACTATCTCTAGCAAAACCATACCATAACTGTAAACATCAGATTTGGAAGTTATTGGAAGATTTGCTAGCCATTCTGGTGCCAAGTACCCTCTAGTACCTCTAACACTCGTCAAGGTTCGATACCTGTGGTCCTTTGCACTAATGAGCTTTGCGAGGCCAAAATCTGACACTTTGGCATTGTAATTCTCATCTAACAGAATGTTCTCGGGTTTTATATCACAATGCACAATGCAGTCTCGGCACTCCTCATGAAGGTATGTGATCCCCCTTGCAGTGCCAAGGGCAACGTTGAACCGAGACTCCCAATTTAACAACTTTCCTGATTGCTCTTGTGTTGCGAAAAGGAAGCTATCGAGGGACCCATTTTTCATGAACTCGTATACCAGAAGCCTATGGCGCCCCTCCGAGCAAAAACCAATCAGCCTCACCAGATTCAAATGGTGGGTGCTACTAATTGTTGCAACCTCCATCCTGAACTGTTTCTCCCCTTGCTCGATCCCCTCAAGTTGCTTAACTGCAACAACAGTTCGATTAGCAAGAATGCCTTTATAAACAGCTCCAAATCCTCCTGCCCCAAGCTTCTCCTTGAATCCCTTAGTTGAGCGCTGGAGCTCCTTATACGAGAACTGAACCGGTGCACCAGAAGCATACTCAAGAAGCGCATATTGAGCAGACAATCCACCAAAGGCAGGACTGTTTCTGCAAAACCACCACCACAAACCACCTTCCAATGCCATCAAAGTAAAGAGGGTGGCAATAACCACAACAACGACTATCCAAGCACGCAACTTCCAATCCTTTTTCTTGTCACCAGTCCCCATTGAAGATGACGGATTTGGGACCACTGGTCCACATACCTTGATATATGAACTACTGGACATAGCTGGACTGTGATAACCACTAAGAAAACCTGGTGTCTTGTAGTAACATAGCCCTGTGCCATCAGACAAAGACGTAGAAGCATCACAAGCACTATTTACAAGACAATTCGACCTGCAGGCCGATATCCCCACAAAGAAAATCTGCGACTCCGTCTCAGGAGGGTACGTCAAGAACTGAGTATGTACCAAGTCCAACATAGTCAGACTCTGAGGACAATCCTCAGTCTCCATCTTCCTCTTACACCCTTTCCTGCTATCCTTGGGATCAACAAGCTCAAAATTAAGAGACATACATCCACATACCGGATTAGAATCGTTATAACTACAAACTCCCATGTTCCCACAATACCCGAAAACCTCACACTGATTAGTAACAGCCGCCCATCTCTCAGTTATAGCCCCACTACCTCTACTAGAGCTATAAATCCTCAAATTCCCATCACTCCCTAACTTCAGAAACCGCAAAATATCACCGGCTTCGGCGTAATCGTTACTATAAGCAACAATAGCAGCAGTGGACAATTTTGGATCAGTAATTGACAGAATACCAATGGACTGCAATCCTAGAGTAGGCGAACTCAAATTCGCCTTAACAGAAGAATTCAATCCCTGATTCCAATACACAATACTATCATTCCACAAAAGTGTAAGATTCCCATTTTTAACAAGCTTAAACGAGTACAACCCAGATCGCAAAACCTTACTCACAGTGAAGTTCTGCTCGGGGACGATCGAATCGGTGGGGTTGTCGAAGCTGGACCAGACGGTAACGGTACCGTTTCGGAGGACCAAGTTGCCCGAATCGTCAATCTCTGCCGACGAGACGCCGCGGCTGGCGGTGTTGGAGTCCCAGAGAGTGGCGCCGGAGCCGTTGACGAGGCGGAGGGTACCGGATTGGAGGAACTGGAGGGTTCCACCGGAGTCCACTGCTTTGCCAGCACCGGCGGACCAGACGGGGACGCCACCGGAGTAGGAGATGGCGGCGATGTAAGAAGGGGGTGAAGTGGGGGGGTCGGAGGGGATGAAGCCAAGGGAGAAGGTGTCGCTTGGCGAGAGCCAGGTGGTGCTTAGGGTAGCGGCGGAGAGAGAGGAGCCTGGTGAGATTGTGATGGCGGCGGAAACGGCGGCGGAAAGGAGAGAGGTGATCAAGAGAAGGAGTGAAAATCGGATGTGGGTTTGGAGCGCCATTTTTGGGTGAGTGGTGGATTTTGGGTATTAGTTCATCGGTGGGTCAGATGAGATAGTTGGGTGAGTTTTAAGGAGGAGGAGGGACGACAGGAGTGTGGTGAGGTATGCAATGGAAGAAGACTTTGACTGCCAGACAATATGGGGAAAGGGTCATTCACGTCGTTTGACTGAAGCGAGCTCGGATCTGCTGCATCCGGTTCTACTTTCTCTGAGAATAGCAAAATGCAAACGCCGTTAGCTCATATTGAGATGTAAAAGTCAAATTAGGTATTGAGATTTTCAAATATGTTTAATGACCAAAGGGATTCAATTTTGTTAATACTATCTCTCATGTTTACTTTTAGAATCATTGTAGTCAAATGGTTCAATTTTCATAAATCTATAAAGCATTTATTTTATTCTATAAAAGCTCGAATTAACTGGTTTAAAGTTCATTATTTCCCCCCCTAAGATTAACCCCTTTATTGAGATTATATATGGAAAAAAAAAATATTATAATTCTCTTCAACATAGACCAAATGGGGATGAGCAATCATACAAATTAAGCGCATCTTCAAAACAAATGTCAAAATGTTCAAATCAATGCTAACAGTAAAAAAAGGCAGCAATAATGTTTTTCAATTGAAAAACCAAATCTAATCTGGCATGACATGAGTTGGTAACTTTCTACCAAATTGACATCAATTTAAAAAAATTTCAATTAATTATTAAATATAATTAATTATTTTCATTTAAAATATTTATTATAATAATTTAATTTGGTATATATGGTGAAGAGAAAATCTTAAAAAATGTTAAAATGCCACATGGACTATCATGTTGTGGCTTATTTTATCTTATAACGGACAAAGAGAGACATGTGTTCGTAAGGTTACGCAAAGGATATGTTATTCATCATATGTAGTGTTCTTATTTATAGTAGTATGGAAGGGAAGAATCCTTCACCTCCAAGAAATACAAGTCTTAATAGGGAAGAATAACTAGCATCAATTTTAATTATGATTTACACAATTACACTTTAATACAATGTTTATAACACTCACCCTTGAGTGCATAAATACTCAATTAGATTCGACATCATGTAGAGTTGAGGAAGTCAACTCATCGGCATTGGTTATGGGAACACGCTAATCTCAAACAAAGTAAGAACTTGCATATGGATCTAAGTCTCACAAAAAACCCAATGGCTATGGTAAAACCTGAGTAGGGACAAAACCCATAGTCTAAGGAAAAATGCATGGAAAATGCAAAGTCAAATGAAACGTCTACGGGATATCATCAGGGTTATGATCAACCCAAGGGTGTCAAAACCTTATTAGGTACCAAAAACCAAAAGGGAGAAATGCTCCTAATCGTAAGAAAAATAGTACATTAAGATCAAGTTAGTATGCTTCAAGATACTCCTCCTGAGTATGACATAATTCTAAAGAGAATTAACAATGTTACAACTCAGAAAGTTTACGCATACCTATTCCTTAAACAAGCTTCTGAAATGTCGCATTCAGTAGTGATTTGCAGAAGAAGTCTGCCAGGTTGTCTTGTGAATGGATTTGCGTGACTTCAATCTTTAGATGCTCTTGCTGTTGATGTGAAAAGAAGAATTTCGGTGTAATGTGCTTGGTGTTATCTCCTTTAATGTAACCTTTCTTGAGATGTTCGATGCATGTTACGTTATCTTCATAGATTGTCATCGAGATGTCAACGATGAGGTAAATATTGTAAAAGCTTCGAATATGGCCCATAATTGCTCTCAGCCAGAAGCATTCCTAAGTAGCTTATTGTAAGGTGAGTATTTTAGAATGGTTAGAGAAAGTGGCAACTAAGGTCTATTTAGTTGACCTCTAAGATATTGCGGTGCCTCCAACAGTAAA